TTCCCTCTAATCTTACACTGCTAAATTAGGGGATGGTTGGCGTCAGGAAGGGCATCCGGCCGTAAAAACCCTACCAACACCGAAAATGGCAACCCCGTATAGATACGGGAAAAAGCTACGGAAGAAGAAGAATGATTACTACCTGCCTTCCCTCTAGTCTTTCACTGCCAAATTAGGGACGACCAGCGCAGAAAGCCCTCGTGCAAAATTTAAACCAAACCAATTTATATATTTGCATAAAGACTTGTATCAACTACCTGCATTAAGTAGATAATTGTTTTCCTTTTCTTGTTTTACACTGTTCTTATACTAGTGTCATTCATGAATTTATAGAATTTACTGTCATTCATGAATTTATAGAATTTACTGTCATTCATGAATTTATAGAATTTACTGTCATTCATGAATTTATAGAATTATAATAATGTACGTTTTATCATTACTTTGATGTTAACCTTTTCTGTTCACATTCGTTACTTTTTTCAGTACTAAAAAGCATATGATTTACTTTGAAACTTTACCATTTTCAGGACAAAACATAAGAATTCTGTTTCTGTAGCTACTTTTACAGACAGAATAACGAATAATTTCGACGGCCCAAAGGGTGGCGCCACTATCGAAAGGGATAATGAGGTGACCAAGCATCATGGTTCAGAATAATGGCAATGATTTTGAAGAACTTGAACTTGAGGCACATCACGATCTTTTGAATGATGTAAGTTGTTGAGTTTAAAAATTCAGTGCAATATTTTTGATTTGGCTCATGCATTTGAGATTACTGAGAAGTGTTTGTGTGCTTTGGGTATTTATCAGCGTTCATTAATTCGCGCCTATTTTGTTATTTCCGAAACATTTGTTTCTTTAAACATACTTTGTAACTACGCCATCTTGACTCATCCATGGCTGCTCTTTGAATTCATCTTTGTATGTTCATTTCTACCCTGTAGCTATGCCATCTTTCATTTCACCACACTTGCCCTGTAGTTATTCCGTCTTTCATGTCTACACAATTTCTCTGTAGCTATGCCATCTTTCATATCTCTAAAGTCACTCTGTAATTCTATCTTTGTCTGTTGTTATTATTTACCTTATTTCATTGTTTATAGTTTGTATACACATATTTTGTTAATTATCATTTTTATTCATCCGTTTATGTTCAGAAGTAGTAAGTTTATGTTCTTGTGACCCGTTCACGGGGGGCACGCCATTATCGAAATATAATGGTAGACTGTGTGTGAATGATGTGAAGTATAACGTAATTCTATTTATTTACTATATTCAGAGGATTTCGTACAAAGAATTTAAACACGTGTGAGATTATATAGGCTTTTTATTTCAAATAGAACAAATAATTTTTTCTCTCTCTCCTTTAACAGGCCGGACGTGGCCTTGTTATTAATGTACTCGGACTGCGAATCCGACGGCTTATAATTCTCTGCTAATTCCCGCCAAAACGCGCTCTGCCCTTTGGAGCCGTGGGTGTTTCTGTAAGAGCAATGGCTTGTTTGATTTAGAGCAAAGCCACATTGGGCTCTCTGCTGTGTCCACCGCGAAGAATCTAACCCCGGATGGTAGCGTTGTAAATTCGTAGACTTACCTTTGTAACACCGAGGAACAAGAGTAACGGTCATTATTCAGTCAGACAAGTGTAGCCTGATTTTTATAGTTTTGCGACCTTAAGCTTACCTCTGAGCCGCTGGGGAGTTTATAAGAGGAACATTAGAACAAGAATTGTAATTGTGATTAAGATTGTTGTAGGTTTGAAGCAGTGGTAATAATGTTGATCCACTTATTATTATGATTACTCTTTTAAAGTATCCCTACATCAGACAACAGCTTACCTTCCTTATTTACCCACTGTTTTTCTTTAAAACTTCATTCCATACGTCACACCTTGCTTTATTAATTTAATCAATTTTGTTCCTTCGCCAGGAAACGACTTTTCTTCTGAATGCAACAGTTCTTCTTTTGCAATGTGTTACACACGCCAGTCAATAGCTTGCCTTAATTTAACCATTGTTGGCTTTTAGACTGTGTTACACACGCCAGTCAATAGCTTGCCTTAATTTAACCATTGTTGGCTTTTAGACTGTGTTAATCGCAGCAGTCAATAGCTTGCCTTAATTTAATCATTGTTGGCTTTTAGACTGTGTTACTCGCAGCAGTCAATAGCTTGCCTTAATTTAATAATTGTTGGCTTTTAGACTGTGTTACTCGCAGCAGTCAATAGCTTGCCTTAATTTAATAATTGTTGGCTTTTAGACTGTGTTACTCGCAGCAGTC